GATTCTTGTCTTTCGATCAGTCCAGGTTTTATTTTTCGCGATGGTAAAATTCTTCGAAAAAATCCCATTAATTCTACGATCGTTTCTTGATTAGCAATGATGTCTAAATTATTAAATTGTATATTTGCCATTCTTAAATTTTCCAGAGGATCATAAACCAGTGTTAGTTCTATAATAATTAAAGCTTCTGTATCTAATTTGTCCAATCCAATAAAGGAATTATTTTTAGGTGAATTAAGATTCGCTAAATTAGATAAAGCATGATTGAGAGCAACTGGAGTGGTAAATTTTTTAGAAATTGAAGGGTCTGGAGAACCAGGTGAGACTGGTGAAACAGGAGAGGTAGGTTCAGAATCTCTTAAACTTCCAGATACGCTATCCATGCCAACATGTTTATGACTAGCAACTAATAATTCAAAGTCAGGACCAAATTCTTGAAGTGCATCTACTAAGAGCAATCCATGAACTAACAATGATGCGCTTAAATCAGCCGTCCTTTTATTTAATGCCGCTCTAACGCCAGATACTTGTAATTCTGCAACACTACGTCCTCGTGATTGCAATTCAAATGTCATTTGATTGATAATGAACTGAACCATCATAGCATGAGTTAAAGCTCGTTCTTCGGTTTCTTCTTTCTTTGGACTTTCAGGTTCCATATTAATTATATCAGATTGTGGAATATTAGTCGAAAGAGGAAAACTTGATAATAAGTTATACATCAAACGAATCGATTCAACTTTCTGTTCATTTACATGTACTACCAGTCTTGGTAAATTTCCAGATACAGTTACAGATGGAAAATTTGGATCCGTCGTGGTAACAACTCTTCTCTCAATTTGTAAAGATATATTGAATCTTTCCAAAACATGTAAGGTAGATGTTCCTCTAGATCTAACATGTTTCCAATTATCTTTTACTTTTCCTACCAAGATTTGTAAATCTACCAAATCTACTGAATAATGATCATATAATTTTTTATGTAACGCGGCTTCTGATAAACCTTGAAAATCATGTATAGAGCCATTTTCTTGACTACCAGGTGGTGTTGAACAAGGAGTTTCAAATCTTTCATCTTCGTCATCGCTATTCGTTGAACCTGCTTTTATAGGTATTTCATTTTCCAGCTGCATATTTTCAATGTTATTTGACAGACGTAATTTTCCAAAATCAACAACTACTACAGCTGCATTAGAGTCTACAAAATTTTCTACAAGTAAAATTTGCGGAGCAGAGATATTGAATTGTAAGTCCCAAGACAAACGATAAACAAATTCCCCATCCAAAATCTGTTCCCAATTTTTGATGAGGTGACGCCTTGTTCTTCGTTTCATTGCTTGTAATCTTTGATTAGAGGAATCTCTGTGAGGTTTGCACATGAAATCGATGAGCCAATGTATTACTTCTGGATTATACACAATGTCCAAAGATTTTGAGTAAACATGTAAAGAATAATCCGTACTCAAGTGTAATGGCTTTTTCTCATAAATCAATTCAAATAATTGTTGGGGCACGTGATTAATCAATTTCTCAGACGATCCACGTACACGTGATGCACTGTTTATAACTTGAGGTTGCACCAATATAGGAAAAGTAGAATTATCCGTTAAGTAATCATGGAGATATAAGGCACCTAAACTTATAGAAAATTTATGAGATCCGGACCTAGGTCTAGACTCGTAAGTTAAATTAACTCGTTCAAATTGCAATTCTATTCTAGTCCTTGTATTATCACTATCCTTGTCTGTTGTAGAAAAAGATATTGCTCCCTTCGATAAGGCAAAATTAAATTGTCCAAAAACTGTATCGCGACCTAATAAAGTATCATCCATTGTGTCAGTCAATGCATCCAATAATTCTCCATCAAAAGTTGATGATATATTTTTGGTATCACTATGCGATGTTTTTGAATACCAGCCCCACCATTGCGGAAACCACTGTAACAATATTCCACGTGCTTGAGGTACATTGACGTTTGAAGTTTGTGCTATTTTTGGAGGTCGAATTTTAAACATTGCTATTTCTCTTAACGCCTTAAGCTCCTCAAAACTACGTTCTTGTTCAACTTTCTCTTTTATATGTTTAGTTTCTGGTGACAAAATAGATGTTGGTGTACCTGCAGTAATAGCAGACATATTAATATTACATAAAACATAAAAAACAAAGATAAAATTAAATTATACGTACCTAATAATTTAGTACATGCTTCAACATAAATAATATTTTCCTTGCCTCTAGCAATTATATCATCCCATGATAATAGTGGTTTCAATATTTCTCTGCCAATATGACATCGTGCAGCATACTTCCACCATTCTTTAGGTGCTGCACTAATAGAAACATTAGGTCGACACTGTTTTTGTTGTTTTCGACGATCTATATTCTCCAATTGTTTAATGCATTCTACTATTTGTTCATACGCTTCCTACATATATATATAGGAATATATATATATATTGAATATATATATATTCAAATATGATTTATTATAATACATTGTTTATCAATATTCCTAATAACTTCAACTTACGTCTGTGAGAACTAACGGTACTTCATCCAACAAAAGGTCTACAATAATTCTTGGTTTACTTAAAGATCTTAAAGGAAGTTCAGATCTATCTCTTTTGATATGAGCTCTTGCGCTCACAGGCGATAAAATATGATTCCTAATTAAACTTTTTGTTTCATTCATAGCAATCTATGAGTTAATTAACATTAGTCAAAAAACGATATGAAAAATAAACATCATATGTATTGAATTAGAAACATACAGCTAAATCACCGAGATTAAGGTGGCTAAAAAGTTGTTCTTTCTTTACGTAATTCCAGTAAATAGAAAGCCTATCAAGTTCCATAAGTTTAAATGATGCATCTGTAAGATTCCATGAAGTAGAACCTGGTAACCAACTGGCATCGCAACTTTGTGCAGTCAATGCACCTATTGTAATACCCAAAGTAACGGCACCATCTACATAAATACATAAAAATATAAATATATAAATATCAAAAATATTATTAATTATTAATAATAAAAATTTACCATTCGATAACGTCAATCCATCTTCGTATCTTATGTGAACATCTTTTATATTTAATTGCAAATTTTCTATAATATTAGTTACTAAGGAAGTTCCATAATTCAACCAAGAACTATAACTAGTAGCGTAGTAACCAGGATCTCTATCCGTATCAGTTCTCCATCTAGCTTCTAAAGATTCTAATCGATTAAGTTTGTATTCCAAAAGTGCTTGCTCCTCTGCTTCATTATCGTACTATTTAAATATTCAATATAATTAATTGAATCAATGAAATTGTATATTCGAATAAAAATAGATAATAAAATAAATCCTTTTACCTCATCGATAGAAATTGGTCCTATTACTACATACAATTGTTCTATTGCTATAACCCATGATGCAGTCCTTATTTGCCTAACTGGAACTTGCAATCTAATTTTCCCAATAAATCCAGATTTGATTTCAATTGGTAAACCAATGTGACGCAATGCTTCACGCTTTAATGGTAAATTTTCTAATTCTACTTCTCCTAAAAGTAAATGAATGTATCATAAATATAAATGATTCTTATATTGTTGTAAATCTTTTAACTCATATCACATAGCAAAACCAAAAGATATAATTATACTTTCGTATATGTATACATAAATATATAATAATTAAGCTGAATTTTAAATGCTATCTCATTAGTTCATAGTATAAATTTATTTAGTAAAGAAAACAACTACTTTGTTATGTTTATTAAGGATACAAACGAAAAAGATAGCAAATACGTTATATAATAAATAATATATATTTAAAACAAAACTTGTATTTTCAAGTAAATTGTTATTTTAAGAAATATTAACTATGATATAAAGTAAATAAATTTATTAGAAAAAAACATAATCTTACCTGATAAAAGTGCAATACTTAATTGATCTGTATTTAGATTTTCAACATATTTTCCTAAATAAGTATTTAATACCCAGGCTACTAGTCCTTCCAACATTTTAAAAAATGTGTCGTAATTTTTGTTACTGCTCTGACAACTGTGTATATTGTTGCAAGCATCAAGTAATTTTTCTAGGTTAAAATGAGCAAACTACAATATAAAGATCGAATATATATAACAATGGTAACAACAAATTATATTGATAATAAGCTTTCATTTAGGCTGCCTTTTATAAACACTGTGCATTTAATGCTTGTCATAACATGTTTTAATAATCATTGAACTTATTAACACTAATAAAATACGTTTCCACACACACTTGTAAATTCGATTCACCACCACTGATATCAACATTTATTTAGTTTTTACAAATGTATATACATAAATTATATACTAAATGTTTTAAACGAATATTTACTCAATGTCTAAGGATTATTTCCAATCTTTTTTGCGAATATTTATTCGAAGTTCAATTCTATAAAAATAACTGGTATCGAAGTATAAATATTTAGCTATATAAGAGTACCTGTGTGATTTCTATTAACGTTTACAAAACTCATAAACTATTCTATTCTATTTTACCAACAGAAAAATATTACGAATACTATTTTTAAATATAATTATCATTTCATAAATTTTTCATTAATATACAATTTTTATTTCGAATATTCGATTATTAACAAAGGTTTATTTTATATATATATAACTACAATATTAATTTAATTCAATATGTACACCAATCACCTAGCTACATTCTAGAGAAGTTATCATCTATTGGTAAGTTAGACAGGAAATGATTTATTAGACATATTTAGCTATTACAACATCTAATAAATATTTAACAAATAGATGTTTTTTATTTATATATTATCGTGAATAAATAAAAATCAAAGAGAAAACATTGGTCTAAAATTTATTCATAAATCAATTTATTTAACATTGCGGTATTTTTAGAAGTAAAAATCGTTTATCGTAGTTATATATAAATTATTATATATTTGTTCTCATTTGTTAATTATTATATATTTGTTCACATTCTATCGCGTATTTTTAATTTAAAAAAGAATAAATGTTCATAGTATATACGTGGTATATACATTAAAATACACATATTATATGGAATTAAAATGTGCTTTAGTGTAGACGTTACTATTTAGAGGTTACAAAAATGAATAAATTTGTTTAGAGTATACTTCCTACAAATAAATTGATATTTATCTTAATTTCATTTTGAGTTATTTATTTATAAATATATTTTTAATTTTAATACATTTGTTTATATTAAATGTGTTTGATCAATTATTGATTTACTAGGAAAGCAATAAAATAAGGATAATTGAAAGGCAGATAAAATGCAGCCCATAAAATTAGGCGTTTGAATAAATCGGTCATTGATTAAACAACCATAAACAAACCATTGACAAGAGACTATTAAAGAAGATAATATAACAGGAAATGGTAAACTGTCTGTGTTCTTGACCCTTAAAACATGTACCTATAACAGATTTCAATATTATCGTTTATATATTCATTTGTTTATTCTTTTTAGAAAAATGTCATATTTCAATATGTATGCATACAAAATACAAAAATATCTAATTAATTTTTAAAAAGCGACGTAATAGATAAAATAGATTGCTTACCAACATAACTAAAGGTGATGCAAAAAAGAGAATAGTAACACTACAGCTTATTAAACCAATATATTTTGTAGCAATATCTTTATCTGTTTCATGAGCAACATAAAAATAAACGACTGCGAGGAAGCAAGTTGCTGCTATAAATTGTTTTAGTGTTACTGATTTTTTTACATTGTATATAATAAATATAATAACATAGCATACTTGCGATATTATTCCAAAAATATTTACTATTACTATAAAGGTATCACCAATTAAGAGCCCATATCTTAGCCACAAGCTACATCTGTTAAAATGAACCGATCACTTTCGAATGATAATTCATTCATACTTGTATATTATGATTAGTATGTATATATAAATTACTAGTACTATTTTATTTGATTAACTTTTCAAAATATACATACGCCATATAACATGTTACAAATGCTAAACTGGAAGAATCTCCAGTTGTACCATTTTTAATATATTTTCTGCAAACTAACCTGTAAAAATGATATTTTTTACACAAATACAAATAAAAAATAATAGTTTTATCAATATAATATCATCCCACTATCAAAATATAAATATATATGTAGAGTTAAATAATAAAGTATAAAATAATCTATAAATTCAATATTGATAAGATAAGAAAAGACATTATTTTTTTTTATTATGAGGTCATTAATTTAATTAAATTAGATAAGATTGTATACAAGAAATATTTGAGAATAATCAGTTACTTACACGCCAGCCAAAAATTGTAAAATTGTACATATTGATGCTGATGCTGCTAATGTATCCTTAATCTCCGTCGAAACCATGATTTAAATTAATTGTTCTATCATTGTCAAGCGATAAAATGTTCATTTGAGATGAGATACCTAAGAAATTTACAAGTATCATATCCTGGAAATTTCATGATAAAAACCGCGCTTTTTTTATTTACTTTTATTCAATTTGATAAAAAATGATAATTTCTTTTGGCGAGTTTTATTGTAAGATTATAAGTGATTTTTCTCAAAATATCGGAAATAGCCTAAATGGAAAATTTATAATTTTTTCTAATTATTATATTAATAAACACATCATAAATTGCGATTAATTTTCTTTATTAATAAAAATAAAAAAATCGATCGTAATCAGTAAATAAATTATAATTAAATGCAATTGCATTTCTTCTTAGTACGTGGAATTTGTAGCTAGAGGGTGATAAACCATGTGTCACAAAATAGCATAAGTTTTGAATATCTACAAAACTTATAATTTGTGGTCGTAAAGTCATGGAGACTACACAAGGAGCACGAACTCAAACGTATTAATTGCCAAAATCTATCCACGCAAATCATATATTTAAGTTTTCTTGTTTCATCACTAGGGTCGCTAATATGCCCTTTGTACTAGGGATCCTATAGGAGGGATGCGCCATGTACATTGCTGGGGGACCGGAACTTGATTTTGCGCGCGAATGATTCAAACATTGAAATAATTATGAAATAATGAATTGCATCAAATACAGAAACAAAATGAACTCTATTTAATGATAATTAAAAATTTATATTAAAATAGAATATGTTACACGAAAAAATTATTATAAATTCAAATAGAAAGATTCAATTAAGTTTGATTNCATTGAAATAATTATGAAATAATGAATTGCATCAAATACAGAAACAAAATGAACTCTATTTAATGATAATTAAAAATTTATATTAAAATAGAATAGGTTACACAAAAAAATTATTATAAATTCAAATAGAAAGATTCAATTAAGTTTGATTTGATAAAAGGCATTACAGTATTTGAAATTTCCAAACAACTTGTAGAAATTTATACAATTTTAATAAATACAATTATCTACTATATATATTATATTTACAATTATTTTAATYAYTCGTACAATTTGTTTTTAATTTCCAATATTAATAAATCAGCTAGGATTCCTGGGTATTATATCTTCATAAAATGGCATCAACATCAATTCCCAATTTTCGATAATTGTAATAAAAGCCAGTGCTGTCAGATCGTGGGTAAATCTTACCCTCTCCCTGTGCCACTGGGATTGCACATAATGAAAGTTTTCCATGTCCGTGTGTTTGGGATGTCGAAAGAAGTCGAGTGTAACCGAAGTTGGCGGGCACGCCGGAGTGGCACACTATGAAAGCGACTCGTGTCCATGTGTTCGGACGACWSYMATCCCAGTGGCACAGGGAGAGGGTAAGATTTACCCACGATCTGACAGCACTGATAAAAGCTTCTTTCTGGAAATATATTTCTAGAAAAATAAAAAAATTGTATAATATTTGAATGATTAATATTTTAGTATTTTATATTTAATATTTTAATATTTGGTTATTATTGTTTTAGATAGTATTTTCGTTAGTTTTAAAATATTTTACTAATTCAATATAATTTTGTAATAATCAGTATGATTAAGACTGTTGATGAGACAAATGATTTATTTCATTTAATATTTATTAGTTTAGTTTAAAATCAATTAAAAATTAGTATAATCAGACAAAATTTTACAAACCATAAAACTGAATATTTTTTCACGTTTTCAGCTGACATTACTATTTTGCAACCACAATTTTCGACGTTCTTCTTTTTTTGGAAAACGAAAAAATTTACGGTCTTGCGTAATTCGTGTTGAACTTTTGCAGTAATTAAGAATACACTGTCGAACCATGATTATTTATTACAAACAATCATTCTTTCTACGGTCAATAACAAAAATTATTTTATAACATTCATTGACGAATATACGCATTATGGCGTAACTTATTTATTAGAGCATAAGTCCGATGTTTACATAGTTTTCAAAGATTACGTTGTAAAGAGTGAGGCTCGGTTTAATTTAAAGTTAGTCAATTTGTATTGTGATAATGGTAGAGAATATCTATCAAATGAAATGAAAGATTATTGCGTTCAAAAGGGAATAAGTTACCATTTAACGGTTCCGCGTACTTCTCAATTGAATGGCGTTGCAGAACGCATGAATAGAACTATAACCGAAAAAGCACGGGCTATGATAAATAGTACTGATCTAGAAAAGAAATTTTGGGAAGAAGCAGTCTTAACTGCAACTTATTTAATTAATTTAACGTCAACGCGGGCTCTTACAATAGATAAAACTCCGTTTGAATTATGGCATAATAAAAGGCCGAGTTTAAAATATCTGAAGGTATTTGGTTCCACAGTCTATGTGCATAATAAAATTAGAAAGTCTAAATTCAATAAAAAATCTTACAAAGCTATATTAGTTGGATTTGTATCGAATGGATATAAAATTTGGAATGTTAAGTATAGAAAATTTGAAATAATAAGGGATGTAATAGTAGATGAAATAAATTACTTGAACTTTCGACCGGTACTGAAAGAAGTAAATTCGGAAAGAGATTCACATGAAACTGATGCGTCAAGTGTGATGCCAAAATCAGTAGAAATGAGAGGTGAGATAAATAAATCTGATAGTGAGAAATCAGATGTATGTAAAAGAAATAAATCTGATAGTGAGAAATCAGATGTATGTAAAAGAAATAAATCTGATAGTGAGAAATCAGATATGGTAAGTTCGAGAGAGAAAGTAATAGTAGATCCCATAAAAAGTAAAATTATACCTGAAACAGATATAGTTGTAGAGCCGAAATCTAAGGATATTAAAGAGGGGAAATCTAAGGATAGTATAGGACCCAGAAGGAGTGGTAGGATTAAACAATGATCTCCTATCTCGTATGATGAAATGGAGATTGATAATGATTATCTGTTGACTACACAATCTATAGTTTATTCAATTTCCATGTCATTTGAAGAAATTAAGACGAGAAATGAAAAAGAAAAATGGGAACAAGCTATTGCAGATGAAATAAATTCACTTATTATGAACAAAACTTGGAATTTGATATCGAAGCCAAAAGATAAGAACATTGTCGATTGCAAGTGGGTATTTGCAGTTAAAAATGATGAATTTGGGAATCCAATTAAATACAAGGCTAGACTTGTTGCTCGAGGTTTTAGTCAAAAATATTTGATAGATTATAATGAAACTTTTGCACCAGTTGCTAGGATTTCAAGTTTTCGATTCTTCATTGCTTTTGCAAATCATCATGGTTTATTACATGGATATGAAAACCGCATTTTTGAACGGTGTATTAAAAGAGGAAATTTACATGAGGGTTCCTGAAGGCGTAAAAAGCAATAGTAATCAWGTATGCAAATTGAATAAARCTTTATATGGTCTAAAACAATCTGCTAGATGTTGGTTCGAGATGTTTGATAAAGCCCTTGTAGAAAAAGGATTCCGAAATTCGCCAGTAGATCGTTGCATTTATATTTTGGATAAAAAGAATATATTGAGAATATTGTAGAGAATATATTAAGAATATATTGGTACTATATGTGGATGATCTTGTGATAGTGACTGCTGGGATAGAGAAAATGAGAGCTTTTAAGAGTTATCTAATGAATAAGTTTTGCATGACAGACTTAAATGAAATTAAATTATTTTTAGGAATTAAAGTTGAGAGAATCAAAGGAAAAATATCATTAGATTAGAGTTCATATTTCAAAACTATTCTTCAAAGGTTTAATATGCAAGATTGCAAGCCCGTTAGTACATTCCTTCCTACTGTATGAGATCATTTAGCTTTGAATTCAGATGAAAAATATGATGCACCCTGTCGAAATTTAATTGGATGTTTGATGTACATAATGGTTTGTACAAGACCCGATTTGAGTATTGCTGTGAATACCCTGAGTCGGTACTCAAATAAAAGTAACAAAGAACTTTGGCAAAACCTTAAAAGAATTCTCAGATGCCTTAAGGGATCAGCTGATATTAAATTAACTTACACTAGAACCGACTATAAGAACATATTGAGTGGTTATGTCGATTCTGATTGTAAAGGTAATGAACAAACGGATCGGAGAAGTACAACTGGATATTTATTTAAGTTATACGAACAATGTACCATCAGTTGGAATATAAAAAGACAAGCATCGGTAACTACTTCGTCTACAGAGGCAGAATATATGGCTCTCTTCGAAGCCGTGAAAGAGGCACTCTGGATAAAATCATTAGCGTTTAGTATTAATATACATATTTCCGAACCGATTGTAATATACGAGGATAACATGGGYTGYATCAGTATAGCAAATAATCCAGGCAATCACAGACGATCGAAACATATAGATATCAAGTACCATTTCACAAGAGAACAAGTTGAAAAAGGTGTAACAAAACTCGAATTTATTCCTACAGGTAACCAAGTAGCAGACACTTTAACTAAGCCACTGCCAGTAGTCAAATTCCTGGAATTCAGAGATGGAATGGGACTGAAATAGTTATATGGATAACAGACTTAAAATCATTTACTATGTATTCATTTATTGTTTTAAGTGGCTGGGTGGGTTTTTTTTCTGGGTTTCCCCATTCCTTAGCAATGAATATTGGACCATATGTATTTGTTCCCAGAAGTAGAGTCAAACTTAGTGGAAGTTTCGTTTTTACTTAGATCATTTATTTGTTGATAGTATAATCTTATTTAAAACGACATAAAAGCGACTTAATGTAAACATTTAATCGATTGAATTTTGAGGGGGCGTGTTRAATTCTRCGCAGTATTCTTTATTCTGCGTTTATATTACCATATCTACAAAACGCTATCGATACTTTTATGTATATAAATAATATCCGATATCCAGTGTGGGACACAGAGTGTTTTGTTCTATCGATGGGCGGTCCTTCTTAATTTTTGTTTTCTTTATCCCTACCAAGGAGCAGCTGCATCTTAAGTGTTTGGCGACGAAATATTTTTATTTTGGTTTATTCGTAATTCGTTCATTCCTTTTCTACTGCTGATTGAGTAAAGACGTGCTTCCACCTTGTCATATAAAATAAAGAGAAAATTGTGTTATAAGAAAGAGTATTTTTAATATCCCCTATAACTCAATAGTTAATTATAATATTTGCGAAATAAATAATTTAATATTAATTTTTCAATAAAATAGAAACATTTTTAAATAGAAAAGAAATGACACGTTTAGTAAAAAAAAACAGACCACGCACCTTCTTTCTTTATTTCGACCGTCGGTTGGTTTGGACCTTATACTTTTGTCGCATACCTACGTGCTTATCTCTGTTTATTCTTCTACTCTTCTATCGCTCTACCTACAAACATTTCGAATATTGAAATATGTGTCCACTCTTTGTAGTATGCAATCGTACACAAACACACACATATACAAGTTTTCAGTTAAAAAGAAATATGAAAAAATATTTTTTTACTCAAAATACACTTTGCCAGAAATAAACATAAAGATTATTATAAAACAATTAAGATATATTCCGTCTAACGTAAAAGAAGAGTGGCGAGATTTAGATTGGGGAATGAGATGAGGGAAGGGAGATACTGGGAGGAGGAGGAGAAGAAAAAATGTAGGGTGTGTGGTTGGGAGATAGAGATATGGGAGCATGTGTTGGAGAGCTGCAGTAGAGATATTGGGCAGGAGGACGGGAGAGGAGTGGAAGAGAGGATCAAGGAAATTTTGGATGAGAGTGGAAGGGGGGAGGAGTGGATGAAGAGGATTGGGAGTATGAGAGAGAAGAAGGAGAGACAAGGATGGGAATAAGGGAGGAAGAAGTGGAGGTTTGGAACAAGTGAAGGGGGAAGGGTGGAAGGAGAAATGAGGGAGAGGGTAGTGTTAAGATAGGTTAAGGAGATAATTGTTAAAGGAGTGTAACCCTTCGGGGACGCAGTAAATATTATCTATCTATCTATCTATATTCCGTCTAACGTAATTAGAAGGGTTATTGATTATTAAAAATACACTTAAAGATGGTACTTATATATTCTTTATACGATTAGATATTATTCTAAATCTTATGCAACAAAAATAAAAATTATAATAAAAGATGTAACTATATTAGTCTCCATCACTGTCTTCATTCACTACGACACTAATTTTTTCATCGATGAACAGGCGACTCAGGATCTCAGCA